CATAAGGTTGCTATGAGTCGATACCAACTTGATGGCACCTAACAACAACAACAATAAGAAGCTAGAGTCCTGGTGTGGCGCTGTAGGATAAGCACTGGACCACAAGGTCAGTGTGAATTACAAGGTGGCAGTTCAAACCCATCAACCTCTCCTTAGAAACCCTATACAGGGTCGGTATGAGTCGGAATTGACTCAACAGCACTTGATAACCACAACAAGAAACTAGGAGTCCTGATGTGGCGCTGTAGGATAAAACACTGGACCCAAAGGTCGGTTTGAACTACATCGGTGGTTTAAACTCACCAGCCACTCCTTGGAAACACCTATATAGGGCCGTGATGAGTTGGAACCAATTCGATGGCACTTAACTACAATAATAACAATGGCTGCTCTAGGAGTCCTGGTGTGGCACTGTAGGATAAGCACTGGACTGCTAACAACAAGGTTGGCAGTTCAAACCCACCAGCCACTCCTCAGAAACCCTATGTTGTTGTTAAGTGTCCAGCTCTGACTCTCATAGCGACCCTGTTTAGTGTTTCTGAGGAGCGCTAGTGAGCTTGAACCACTGACCTTGCCCTTCAAACTGACCTTGCAGTCCAGCGCATAAACCTGCAACACCACACCAGGGCTACCTAAGAAAGTACTTTCTGAGGAGTTAAATACTTTGCCACATGCAAACACTGGAAAGCACCTAGCATTTATAAAGTTTTTAAAAACCCTTAGCTGGTGTGATGATGTTTCCTGAGTTCCTCATTTGGGTTGCCCAAGTGATCTTCCTAAGGCACATGTCTCATTACAAAATCTCTTATTTAGAATCTTAGAGGATTCCCCATAGCACCAGTGGAAACCCCGAAGCCTAGCAAAGCATACAGTTTTCTGAGTTGGCCCTTCTTACTTCTAGAGTTTTCCCATATCACTCACTCTCCCACCCCCTGCAACCGCCCCGCCCCCCCTACACACACACACACACACACACACACACACACTACTCTCAGATCATTCAGACTACAACCTGTAAGTCACAGACTCTGTGAAGAATACTTTCGCCCTCCATTCCCCATTCATCACCCTTTTGTATTTTCTTCATGGCAATTATTTCTACCTGAATGTATTTACCTTGTCAATTTTACTGTCTGACTACTCCCTTCAGAAACATGAGCTCCGCTAAGTTAGTGGCCTGTCATCTGACCTCTGCAGCCTCAACACCCAGAAGAGGTCCCGGGACATGCTGGGCACTCAGTACATACGCGTCTAGTAAAAAACTGAATTCCACCCTGCATCAAACTGACACTACTCTACTTAAATTCCTCTCCTATCTTCTGAGCCTAGACTACTCTCTGCCCTCAAATATCATCACCCTTGGATTGCTCTCTATAGATACAGATTAAAAACTGAGCCTCCAAAACGGGGTTCTCCCTCTGTCACCATCCACAAGCTAACCAGCTTCGTGGAATCCATTCAGACGCATGTGTGTTAAAACTGAACAGTACTCCTCAGGATGAACCACTTTGGGAGATCTCAAGTTTCCATATCCCTGGCCAGGTCTTGGGTTCTCCGCTCCACCTCCAAGTTGAGTGTGCCAAGCTCAAAGCTTCCTGGACATTACCCACAGCACTGCGCTTTCTCACAGTAGTATGAGCCACACCCCACTGGCAAAAAAGGTGTGGGGACTAAACCCTTCAAAAGTAAGGCTGATTGAAATCATCATATAACCCCAGGTCTCACTTCTTGTTTACATTCTCTCTTCCCCATCTCTGCCCTCTGGGCCAAGCCTAGTCGGGAAGGTTGGTGTCCTGATGGGTCACCAACTAGCTGGCAGCAGAACAGACGGATTTGAGTACACTCAGCTCTGGCATGCTGGGGTGGTGGGCTGTGGATTCAAGACGCTCGTCTACCAACTGAGCGCTCCAGCGATCGCCAGCCCTGTGTGGGCGGACTCAAGAGCTCACGTGCGCTCACTGCGCCCACGGGCAAGACCTGCGGAACCGCGCCCACCTCCCGCACACGGCCGCTCTTACCCGAAAGTCGTGGGCAGTGTCCTTGACTGGTTGCACGCGGTGCCCCTGGTGCCGGGGGTCGGCCTGGCACGAGCAACACAGCAGCTCCTTGTCCTCGAAGCAGAAGAGGCTGAACTGGGCGCGGTGCAGGCGGCAGTGGCGCGGGGATCGATGCCCAATCCAGCGCGCGCCCTCGGCCTCCTCGCGCAGTAGTTTCTCCACCAGGTTGTTGAGGGTGTGATTGGTGCGGAGATCTGCTAGGGACGCGCGATCCTTGCACACCGGGCAGGCGGGCGCCACCTGCACCTCCCAGCTGCGGGTCACGCACACGCGGCAGAAGTTGTGACCGCAGCGCAGAGTGACGGCGTCGCGGAAGGGGTCGTAGCAGACCGCGCAGAGCAGCTCCTCTTTGAAGGACCGGGAAGGACCGGGGGACGCTGCGGGGCTCGGCTCCATCACTGGAGCCCAGGGTTCCAAGAGCCTGCAAACTACGTTCCCGCCCTTCCCACCCAGCTCGCTTCGCGAGGGGCGGTGCCGATCCCCTTGAAAAATGAATGACAGCGGCTCTGGACCATTGTGCGAGGCGCAGTTGGCCGGAGCCTCCCCAGTTCCGGTCGGTTTGGGAAATCGCGGAAGAACGGGGCGGGATCCCAGTGCCCGCTTGGTCTGAATCCCGCCAATCCAGGCGAGCGGGGTCCGCCAGTTTAGCAAAGGAAAAAAGTCCTCAACGGTGCTGAGTTGGAACCGACTTCCCCTCAGACCGGCAGCCAACCAGGCAGATGCACCGGTACTTACTTGTCCTTGGAAACTTACTTCCTGTTTGAATCGGCAGTGAAAGTTATCCCTTCCGTAACCAATGCTTCTGAAATCTTGGGCCAGATTGGTGGCAACAGCCGGATTTTCCAACTTCCTGGTTTATAAATAGAGGTTTGGGCTTAAAAAGCCATTAATGTATTCATTACTTTGTTGTTGTTATTAAGTGCCATGGAGTCGGTTCTGACTCATAACGATCCTGTATAGGGTTTCAGAGGCTATATATCTTATACCCTCGGAGCGGCTGGTGGGCTCAAACCGCCGACCTTGCAGCAGTCTAGTGTTTATTGTTCAGAGCCACTGCGCTACTGTTCATTACATGTTGTTGTTATGAATGCTGTGCTGTCTAGTCGCTTATGACTCATAGTGGCACTAGGTTTATGAGCAGCAGTTGGTGGGTTTGAACTGCCGACATTGTAGATTTCAGCCCAGTGCTGATCCACACCAGAAATCCATTTGTTACTTAGGTTTTATGGGGTTTTTTTCAAAGACCTGTTACTGCTCCTCCATTACTAGTTTACTTATTTTAACCAGTCTTATCCTGGCCCACTAAAATAAGGATTAAACAGGTGAGGGAAGAATATGCTGAGAAAACCCGACTCTTGTTTATGGTCGAATAAATTCACAAGCATAATCTTTCAAAATCTGTTTTTCAACTGTAAAATGACATTTTATCTCCCATTAAAACAGAGATTGGGATGTGTGCAAAGATAATTTGCCAAAGAAATTAGGATTTCTGTGGGTCAAAGAATCTACGCTGAATTCTTGCCTGGTGTTGCAGGTCTCAATCCTTCCAACTCCCAGTTCTTCCTAATTTAGTTGGGTTTTGTTTGTTGTTTTCAATTTGCAGTCTTCAAGTGGAGGATTCCATCTCTTCTAACACACTTTGAAAAGTTCTTGGAAGAATGGAATTAAAAGGTTAATGGGGTTTTTCTCAAGCTTTTTGAAGCCCCTTATCTGTCTTGTGAGCAGGAGCACAGACTGCTCTTTCCAAGAATGTTTCTATGTTGAACAGTCTTGGAAGGCAGAAAATAGTAGCTTCTTCCAGGCAAAGCTCGTTACAAAGGATCTGGGTTTTCTACATTCAGGGTTCCTCTGATCCTTCATTTTATTGGCTTGGAAATTGAGATTCTGAAACTGACCCAAATGGTGGGATGATAATCTGATGGCTGTTATTGCTAGGAGAAATAAATTATCTTTTACTGCTGACCCAGGAGCCTCATGTTTTCTACCAGCATCCATGAAATTATGGCAGGCTAACTGGTTAGTATGCAAGTAGAGTAAAATCTCAGATCCTTTTGTGTTCTTAAGATTTTCTCCTAAAATTTCCTCAAAATAATCAGTTTTTCACAGTGTCAAGAGGATAAATACCACTAATTCTTAATCACCTTCTGCAGTGTTTCATATATGTAGCCCATGTCCTTTCTGGGGAACTTGCTAAAAGCATAAATTTCTGGGCTCACTTCAGATTCAGTCTCTTTTATGTTAGGAAAAGATTGGGAATCTGCATTCCTGAATACTCTCCAGGTGATCCTGATTCACACTAACATTTTGCTGTTGTTATTAGGTGCCATTGAGAAGGTACAGACTCAGCAACCCTGTGCACAACAGAACGAAACACTGTCCTATCCTGGGCCAACCTCACAATTATTGCCACACTTGAGCCCATTGATGCTGCCATTTTACCAATCTATCTCACTGGGGGATCTATCTCTTTTTCTCTGACCCTCCACTTTACCAAACATAATATCCTTCTCCAGGACTGGTCCCTCCTGACAATATGTCCGAAGTATAAGAGAGAAAGTTTGGCCATCCTGGCCTCCAAGGAGCACTCTGGCTGCACATCGTCCAACACAGATTTGTTGGTTCTTTTGGCATCCCATGGTACTTTCAATATTCTCCTCCAACACCATAACTCAAAAGCATCAATTCTTCTATGGTCTTCCTTATTCACTGTCCAGCTTTCGCATGCATATGAGGTTATTGAAAATGCCATGGCTTGGGTCAGGTACACCTTAGTTCTCAAGCTGATATCTTTGATCTTCAACACTTTAAAAAGGTCTTGTGCAGCAGATTTGTCTAATGCAATACGTCGTTTGATTTCTTGACTGCTGCTTCCATGAGTGTTGATAATTGATCCAAGAAGAATGAAGTCCTTGACAACCTCAATCTTTTCTCCATTAATAAGAATGTTGTTTACTGGTCCAGTGGTGAGGATTTTTGTTTTCTTGACATTGAGATGCGATCCATACCAAAGGCCGTGCTCTTTAATCTTCAGTATCTTTATTCTAGATCTAGCCCCAGGCTTCCAGTTATGACTGATGTTTAGTCTAAAAATGAAGCCTAGAAGTTATAGCTAAAATAGTCTATAGATGAGGCTAATAACTGTATGACTGGTGCTTGCATGGGAAGATTGCCTCTTTTGTAGTCTTATTTTCTTTCACTGTGTTCACTTATCTGTCCCAGTTGCTCTCTGTGTGTTTCATTCTCTACGTAAATGATTTTCCATACCTGTTTGATTTTTGTCAGATTCCCTCTGAGTGGGGTCACAAATCAGAACAAGAGTGGAGGTGGTTGAAATTAACGTTTTTGTTTTGTTTAGAGTAGAATACATAGATAAATGAAACCAATAATGTTCTAAGTAGATTATATGTTGTTGTTGTTAGGTGCCATCGAGTCAGTACTGACTCATAGCGACCTTATGCACAGCAGAACAAAACCCTGCCTGACCCTGGACCTGTCTCACTACTGTTGCTATGCTTGAGTCCATCGATGCTGCCACTTGGCCAATCCATCTCATTGGGGGTCTTCCTCTTTTTCTCTGACCCTCCAAGTAGAATATCTAGTTAACGTTAAACTGATAATGTTCTCAGATCATTCTGGAAATCAGAAAACATCTTGGTTCTATTCCAAGCTCCATCACTAACCCAGGGTATGACCGGTGTCATATAATTTCATTTTTCTAACTTCTATTTCCTAAGCTATAAAGGAGAGATGAACATAATTAAGCAAAGTTCTTTCTAGTTCAGACACTCTGAACTTATTTTATCTTTAGCATTGTTTCAGGAAAGAGGGAGACTAAGAGTTAGAGACTGGGAAACGAGACCTTGGTGATTGTATCCAATCTGTTACCATCTAGTTCTTCCTTAGTGAGAATTACTTTCTTTAAAGAACTCTGAAATTGAGGGCCTGTCATGGTTACAGTTGCGTGTCAACCTGGCTGGGCCATATTCTCAGTGGCTTGGCAGTTTTGATGTAGTCATCCCTGTGATGAGATCTAATACAATATAATCACTTCCATAATGAGATCTGCTATAAGCAGCCAATCAACTTAAAGGGAGTTTCCTTGGGGGTGTGGCCTGATTCTAATATATGTGAATGCTCTGGCAAAGCTTGCTTACTTTGTGCTGATCTGGTTTCTGCATCTGGTTCATCATCTGATCTCTAGTTAATTGAACTTGAGCCAGCAGCCTGCCGTATTGCCTGTCAGTTCTGGGAGTTGTCAACAACCTGAGAGCTTACCTGCCAATCTCAGATACTTTTGTCTGGGCAGCCTGCAGCCTACTGTCTGACCTGCTGATCTTAGCTTTGTCAGTCCCCACTGCTGCGTGACTCAGAAGAAGTCTCCAGCCTGACGTCTGACCCACGGACTTGTCAGCTTCTACAATTCTATTAGCCATTTCTTTGAGCTGAATCTCTCCGTATATGTGTGTGTGTATATATATATATATAAGATTTACTGGTTTTGCTTTTCTAGAGAACCCAGCCGAAGACAGGGCCTCTGTATGTCAGTTTGACTACTGTATGTCACTGCCTCTAATTTTCTCATTCCTGCCAGCCACTGTTAGGTTTCTAACCTCCCTATCATAACCATATACATTTATGGAGGGTATGATAGCTTTTTTAATGTAATTGGAAAAATGACTCTTATGTGCAGAGGTTAGAAAGAGAAATGGCCCTTTCTGTCTTTCTTTTTTTTTTTAAAGCAGTGAATTGGAAGTGGCTGCTGCAAATAACAAGGAGAGATTATTAGAGTAGGTTTAAAAACAAACAAAGACTCTATTCTGCCTTAACGAAATGTACTTTAAATGTAAGGAATCCCTGAGTAGTGTAAACAGTTAACATGTTCAACTGATAACTAAACGATTGGTAGTTTAAGCCCAGCCAGAAGCATCCCAGAAGATGAAAACTCAGCCACTGGAAACCCTGTAAAACACAGTATTACTCAGATACACATGAGGTTGCTATGGGTGGGAATTGATTCAGTAGACACTAGTTTGACTTGTTTTGAAATATAAATAAGTTAAAAGTAAATGGATAGGAAACACTAATCAAAACAAAACCAGTTTGTTGTTGTTATTGTTGTTAGGTGCCATCAGGTCGGTCTGACTCATAGCAACCCTCTGCACAATAGAATTTAACACGGGCTGGCCCTGTGCCACCCTCACAATTGTTGTTAGATTTGAGTCACTTGTGCTAATCCATCTCATTGGCAGTATCTCCCTCTTTTTCACTGATCCTTCAATTTACCAAGCATCATGTCCTTCTCCAGGGACTGACAACATGTCCAAAAATTGTTTGGGTATATTTATATCAGACAAAGCAGATTTCTGATCAAAGAATATTATTTATTTAATCTTCCC